GGGGGCAGGAGCACTGGAGGCAGCGGTGGTGTGGGGTGCTGGCAGAGAGGGGATGGGACAGCAGGGCAAGCTCCCCCGCCCTCCATTCCTGGGAGGCAGCAGTGGTACGAGGGGGATGGGCACCCCATCCCCATCCCCCGTCATTCTTGATGGGGAATTGCCTAGTTATTTTATAACTCCCAAATGTTTGCCTAATCTGCATTTAAAGACCAGGTCATCTGTTCTAGTACTTAACTTTCTGTTAAACAAAATGTGTCTCATTTCATCATTTGCAGGAAACATTTTTTTATCCAAAGTTTTTTTATGTATACATTGTCAGTTATTTGTGGCAGGGCTTGTGTTTTACCATGTGAATGTACAGCTTCTAGTACACCACATACTATTAACTTGGCTGGGACTTCTAGAAAAAACTGTAATACACATTGTACTATAATAGCAAGGGGTTGCTTGTAAGGGTGTTGTTGATGTTATCTTCTCTGTGTTTGAATAGGAAGTTGTTATTGCAAATATTTAGTGACCCTTGGCTGGAATTCTTTTGTGATTCTTATTATTCAGCATACATTTCCTGGCTCAGAGGAATTTGATTTATCAAGGCCTTTGGTTCATCATCCAGTATATGCTAGCTTTGCACCTGCTTACAATTTATCAAAATCTTTTCTAAATGACTTGGAAGGTGCAAAAGAGTCAGTAGCTATTTAGCATGTCTGTTGTAATTGGAAGTGTGTCAGACACATAATAATAATCAGCACTTCAGATTTATCAGTATTACTTACAAGTAAAAATGAAGGTCTGGAGGGTGTTTTTATTATTTTAAATTCTGTGGATTCATTTAGTGTTTTGCAAATAAGGGGACAAAGCCAATGGCTGGAGATAAAGGCAATGTTAGGTCTGTTATTTCTACAAAGTTCTGGTAATTTACCTTAATCCAGAAAGGCAATAGTATTCTACTTGATTCCTAAGGCTGTCCTCATCCAAGACTATGGGTAATCATGTTGAATTGTGCCAGCATGCACACATTACAAAAAAAAGCCACAAAATCATAGGCTACGTAACAAAAGACAAGGACCTAAAAATACAGCAGGATTCCAAACATAGAACACTGATATCTTTCTGCAAAGAATAAAACACACTTTTGGAACTACATAAATACTAATAGTTAATGTACCAGCCAATAAATATATCTCTTTTTGAAGTACCTAAGATAACTATATTGAAGGGACATTAAGGTTGCAAAATCAAGCACAGAGAAAAATAAGAAGCATCAGAAATAAAGTTTTCTGTGCAACCTCAATGCAGTTTGTTTGAATTAGTTTTACAGGAGTCTTTAATTACATAATCAAAGCCTATTTTTTTTCTCAGGACCTCTGCCTCTTTCAATGAGGAGACTGGACTGTGCTTCCTGAATAATCAGCTATTCAATATTTTCTTTTTCCTCATTGTTCAGTGTGTGACCCCAGGTCTTTCTTATTGCACACTATGCATACTAAGTTTGACGGTCCAATTAGTCATTTCCCCCTGGATTTTTCAGTGCCATTCTTGATTGTTTATCTGAGTGCTATATAAGATCAATCACTTTAATTTCACAATATACCCATTTATAATGATCAGTCTGCTTATTGCCATTTTGCAAATGGGAAACTGAGGCACAGAGAGAGTAAGGTGAAAAATGTCCACTGATTTTGAGTGCACTTCAAAATTTTCCAACAAGGGCTCAGCCTTTCTTCAAAATGTATGTGCTAGGCCCCCAACTTTTTTAAGCTTCTTATAAATGAGAAAGACACAAAATGAGTGAACACCTGTGAAAAAATTATTTTAAGTGACCTGTCTAGTATTACACAGAAACATTTTGCCAGAGATGAGGGTACAATCACATTCTCCAGCATTCAGTTACCATAAAAAGATTTCCCCTTTGCTTTTTTTTTTTTAAACAAGGGGAAAAAACAAAGGGTTGGGGGTTTTTTTTGGTTAATATCCTTAGAAATCGCTTTACCATTTCTGTTCAAACTTTCCCAAAATTTAGTGAATTAATTTCCTGAAACAGTCTCCTGACATGGGATATTTCAGCTTCAATGTTTAAAAGTTTGGCAACACTACAAGCAACTGAATACAGCATCTTATGATAGGAAAGACTGAGCAAACTTAGATGTCTCAACTAGTTCTGCTTATAGTAAATTATTGGAAAAATATAGCTAATACTCAGTGTGGCTGGATTGGAAAAGAGATTTTTCCAAACACCAAGGCCTATGCACTTTGGATGTAAAGCCTGAACAGGCCTAACAGACACTTCTTTGAGATAATTCAGATAATTCAACAATTTGTGTTAATCCTAACAGTAAAAGTGGTGTTCATATATTCATCAGTTGCAAAGCTTTTAACTTCCAAGGTGCAGCATGTTTTCCTTCAGAGATTTTCCATGATGTTTAGTTTACTAGCAACAACATCAGTTTAGTTTAATGGCTTCAGAAATACTTGGAGTGACTGCTCTGAATCTAGTAGTAGAATAATACATATATGAAAGAGCTCAACTGGATCAAAAATAATAGCTTCTACCTCTGAGAGAAACTTTAAAAATATGTGCCTGATGAGTGGGTCTAATTTTACTAGCAATTTTCCACCTGCAGTATTGAGTTTGGTTTCTGATGTTAAAAAAATTCCTTCATTGTCTTTAGTATGTATTGTTTATATATATACTCTGCTATTTCATCTCCTCACCAGAAAACTGTAGTGCAAATATCATGGAATTTATTTTTATTTAAAGCAAGGACTGAAAAGAAACACAGAATAAATGACATTTGCAGTGTTTCTAGACTATATGACCTGTACAGAGAAAAACTATGTGTTGATTCCACTGTAGTATTTTTCATACTGAGAAACAATGTGGTGCACTGACAGAACCAAACAGGGGCCAGAAGCTCTTAGCTTTGCCACTAATTCACTGCTGAGTTGGAGCAAGATACAAATTACTTTCATCATCTTTTAAAAAGGTAGAGACCTTTTTAAAAAGGACACGTAAAAGTGGCACTTATGGCAAATGTTTTTGCAAATGTCTACTTAGCTGTCTAATTGTCATGTGTATGTGCACTTTCCTGATTTATAAATCCAACTTGGATAACTGGCTTTCCAGAATCTGTACATTTTTCTTAATTTTTATTTGGACACAGACCACTTGCAAAAAGAATCAGCTCTGTATCTTAGATTCCAGATAGGAAAAATTGGTATATTAAGAAACACATGAATGTCAGCATACATTTTACCTTTTGGATCTAATTTGTTTTGTATGACCCAAGATTTTATAAAGCTTTTTCTTTCTTTCTTCCTTGACAACAGGAAGCAAAGTATACTCAAAGAGGGCAAATAAACTCACTGATAGACATGTAAGAAAGCAAAGTAATACCTCAAATCTTTAGGACTAAAGTCATGGGAAATGCCACACTGACAAGAGGTACTAAACTGCTGTACAACAGCATTAGCACTTCAGCATGTGCTGGTAATAACTTGGATTCTTGTATTAAGGTCTGAATAATTGAGTTAGTATACAAGCTTCCAGCTCAGCGTTTGTCTTCTTCAAGTGTTATAAACAAGACTGCAGATTCAGAAGACACAACAGATTATTTATCAGAGAGCAGACTATATGTAACATACAATTCATAATTCCCAAGGACCTCAAGTACCAATCAAGAAATATACAAATGTTGTGTCTGATCCTTCTATTGTGGCCTTTAAATATCGTTACCTGCCTTTCCATTTTCTGCTTTGTTTCTTGTGATTGGAAATGATCAAATGATAAACGTTGCTGCTTTCACATTGTTACAATGGCATTTCCATGGATTCAATACATCTGCTAGAAGTTTTAGCACAGCTAGGTTTATGCCCATCAAACAGTATTGTAACTGTGGTATTGGCAAGCAGGGCATCAGTGCTTGGTGCTGACTATGAGGAGGTGCCAAAATCACCCTTGTCCCTTTGCTCTCTACCCCCTTCCTCCCAAGAGCCTTTGCTATGTCAGGGGCATACCTGACCTCAGTAGCTTATCTTGTGAGGGGGAAGCAATCAGGAGAGCAAGAGCCACAGGGGTGCTGCCACCTGTGCTGAAGCTGCTACTGCTGTGGCAGTAGCAGTAGTAGCAATAGCAGCTGCCTTCACTGTGCAAGTAAAACTTCCTTTCCCCTTACCTCCCCTTCCATTCACCTACAGGGGTTGGCATACCCTCATTCTGCGCCAGGTCCTGAAGGAGCTCTCTATGCCTTTGCTGTCAACTAGCACCCACATGCTATGGGAGACTTTACATTTATAGCTATATTGGGCTCCTTCTCTGGACAAACTGAATAGAAGTTTCATGCCTTAGTTATGTTTTATACAAGAATGCTTGTAGCAGAAGCTGGGGCAGAAGTTGTACCAAATGCTTCAAGGCAATAGAAACTGCTAAACTGAAATCTGGAAGTTGCTCTTTGGGTGTCTTACAGCATTACTGACAGTACACTGCTGTGTCTGCAATGATTCAGGTTGTCAAACAACAGGCTGGTAACTGCATTTTTAAAGAATAACAACACACAGGCATGACATTTTGTTGGTGAAGTTATACATACTATACTGTTCTGTGGTCCAGTTGGCACACAGGGCTGGCAGAGAGAAGATTCTTCACCTGGCAAGAGGTTCTCAGCCTTTTTGGATACAAAGAATTTGACTATAGACCATTTATGGTAAGGAGGAAGAGGACAACTTTAGTGGGAATAAGTAAGAGCTCAGATTGAAGGATGAATGAAACTTTGATCAGGTAGGTCCAGAATCTAGAAGAAAGAACCTCCCAACCTAAGATGGAAGTAACCTTGGTGGTTCAAAACTCGCAACAGCTTCATCTAATGCTATTGAACTCAGCCCCGTGCCACTGTTGGGTCCTCTCCACCCTCCAAATACAAACTAATGCCATCTTTATTTTAAGTGAAGCAATGTGATTATGTGATTTTTTTCTTTCTTACCATCTTTCCACGTTGTGACTTGCTTCAGCTTTATTGTCTCCATGTCATGATACAATTTCAGAACAAAGAGACTCAGGACTGCTTGAGAAGTGAGCAGTATAATGATAAAGAAAACCTGACAGAGCCTCTGTGGGTGAAAATGGAGTGGAAACTTCTTATTGCTGTGCAACTGTGTTTTTCTGCAGAAAAACATATATTGATGTGTTAGTAATAAATCTGGCAACATTTGCACTCACATCTAGACAGCAGGCAGCAGCTGCTCTTTCTTCCACTGGGTTCTCAACAGCTACTGAGTTAACAATTTAAGGCGGTGGAGTAAGAAGACCAAGGAGATTAAAGGAAAATAAATATTCTCCTAACCAGTAAGAGGTGTTCCTTTTTAATACCATGCAAAGTGGACAGTTGCTGTTCACTATTCTTGAGCAAAATATAAGCAGCTCCAGTGTGGAGTTTTGGATATTAAAGTTTGTGGGAATTAGTTCATTGTTTGCACCTGTAAGTATGGAGTGAACTGTTTGCCCATGGGGTGAACACATTTTAATACCCAAACTAACCATTTTATATCAAAGGGAAAGTGACAGGGGAGGGGGACACTGCAAAGAGAGGTAAAGTGTGGATTGATTAGATCAGCTAAAATGAATAAAGAAATTAATATCTTCAAGGACTCCGGAGTTAACATCTAATCCAGGTAATTCTATAAGAATCCATAGTCCCTGTTGAGACCAGGGTTAGCATAATCCAGTCTGTGGATAATTTATTCTGCAATTTTGCATTCAAGTTGGTTTATAAAGTCATTTTTTGTTTAAGGAAAGCTACTTTGAGGTGGAATATCTAGGATGGTTAAAGTATTCTGCCATGGGCTTTGGTGTGTGTCTGGAATTGATACCTGCTCCAGAGAATGTGCCTTCAGGACAGACAAAGAACAGAGAGGCCAGAGGAAGGTGCAGTGATTTGTACACAGTCACAGAGTGCAGTTATTGGGGATTCCAGTAGCAGAACCCAAATGCCTTGCCCAGCCTGTGGTTCCTAGCCACTGGATTACTCTGCTTGTATAGATTTCCATGCTATGACTTTAATATGAGTTGGTTTCTTGGTTTGATTGATCAGAGGTACTGAATCACATTAGGAATGGCCACCAAACAACAATATTTCAAATACTTGGGCCTATCTATAAACAATGAAGCTTTGTCAGGGCTGAATGAACAAATGATGGAGAGGCACCTATGAAACATGAAGCACCATACTTCTAGTAGAAGCAAAAGGACAACTCTGCCACTATCAGGGCTGCTGTTTAAGAACACTTAGGAACAATTATCCGTTGTGGAAAAATCAAATTATGTCTACCACAATGATTTATATCCAGGGGAAATGGGAGGTCTGATGGAATTATAAGTCAACCTAAGTTTGATTCCTGGAAAGAAATTACTAAATTAGTGAACAACCTATTTATAGGAACCCACAAGACAATGCAGTAATAAGAATTGAACAATATAAATTTGCCAAGGACCAATAATCCAAAATCAATCTAATTTCCTCCTTTGACAAGGAAATTGGCCTACTGGATAATGGGAGAGCAGTATATATAATGTGTTTTGACTTTAGTTAGGGTTTTGACATTGTCCCACTTGATAGTCTCATAAGTAAGCAAAGGAAATATGGTCTAGATATAATCACCATGAGGTGAGTGTACAACTGGTTGAAAAGTCACTGGCAAAGAGTAGTAATAGGATAGCTTACTGTCAGACTGGATGGGTAAGTCAAGTGGAGTTGCCTGGGGGTTTTTTGGGCCGGCTTCTATTCAATATTTTCACTAATGACTTGGGGAAGGGAATAGATACTGCACTTAAAAAATTATAATGACACCAAGCTGGGAAGAACTGCAACCATTATGGAGGGCAAAATCAGAATTCAAAATGATCTTAATAAATTGGAGAAATGATAAAAAATTAAGAGGATAAAATTTAATAAAGACAATGTCAAAGTGCTATATTTAGGAAACTGTATGGATACAAATAAAAAATATATGGCTAGGTAGCAGTACAGTAGAAAAAGATCTAGGGTGATAGTGGAAGCTAAATATAAGTCCATAATGTGATGCTCTTACAAAAAAAGCAACTATGATTCTCTGATTTCAGAGCAGGAGTGTCCTATATAAAACATGGGGTAATCAGTTGCCCCTAATTAGTGGTTGCTGAGGAGATCTCGACTGGAACACTGTGTACAATTCTGGGCACCCCATTTTAAGAAATAACTAGAAAAGCTGGAGAGAGTCTAGAGGACAAAGCAAGAATGATAAAGATTTAAAAAACAAGTGCTAAAAGGAAAGGTTAGTCTACACAGAGGGCTGAGGAAGGCATGCTAACACCAATCAACTACATAGAAAGTTTTTATATAGAGGATGAAAAAAAATTATTCTCCAAGCCCACTATGCGAAGGATGAGAAGAAATCTGTGTAATTTGCTGCAAATAAAGTTTAGGGGAAAATATTCAGGGAAACACACGCTCTAAATGGTAGATTTTAAAATAGTGGAATAGGCTATGGAAGAAGATAATAGAATCTCCCTCCCTGTATATTTTTAATATTAAGTTAGACAAATATCTATCAAAGATGGTATAAATACACTTGATCCTGCCTCAGATGAAAAGGTTGGATTAGATGATCTCTTGTGGTCCCTTCCAGCTCTGCACTTCTATGATTCTATGAAATTCTAATTGTTCATAAGATGGTAGACTCAGTAAAGCTGTGATTTTTATGCCCTACACTCTATATTGCTTCCTATATAAACTGTTCTTAACTCCCTCCTTTTTCTTTTTCTTTTTCTTTGCATTGCTCTAAACCTGGATTCATTGTCTTCCAAATCAGTGAATGGCCTGAAAGCTATATCAGATAATTTTTGGTAAGTTAGAATGTGAATGCCAGATTGAACTAGTCAGAGAGAGTCTCATGCAAAACTACAAAATGGATATAGTAAATGCTGTACTCAGTAGATTAATAGAATGCATAACACTCTTTCTGCCTCTGAATATGATCCTAAATACCTGCTTGGAACTCCATTAAATTATACTACACTGGTTATTTATGCTATACTGAGCAATTTTCTGATTCTCCCCTTGTAAGCAAGGCTTCAAAACTGCCTAAACTGGACCTAAACTCTGTGGTGCTCTAGTAAGGCAGACTGGAAATTCTGTGTCAGCTTAAAGTACATTAAAAAGGTTTTTAATGTAATCATTATGAAAATGAATAATGCAATCAGTGCTGCAGTTACTTAGCAGTCCAGGGTTACACAGTTGGATTTTCAATTCAATTTATTGTACACTTTCAATATGCCAGAGTTTTCTGTATCAACAGCATAACTCTATATTGAAGTAGTTTTTAAGGGGGAAGGTAGAGGTTTTGACAACTAGCAAGGAGGCAGATTCTGCAGCAGTATTCTGCATTAAACAACAGGATCTCCACCAATTTCCACAGCTGTAAACTGCATGGGGCCCTACCTATTATAAGAGTTCAGCACATAAATTCTGCACACAGCTGCACTCTGAAATTCCCCTGTAATATGTGTGTGTATGCTGTACTCAGAAGCTCTCTAAGATCCCCCTGTGTATATATTTTTCTCTCTCATAGGTCAATGGAGCTGAAATAAAATGTGCATCTGTAAAAAGAAAACTTCAGTGATGACTCATTTATGGTAGGGCTACTGCAAATACTTTATAATCTTGGAGAAGCACCCCAGCAGATTAACTTCTTGTGTGGGTGTCCCCTTTTTTTTAGGATTTACTGTTTTAAACACTGAAAAGACATCCCCTTTTTCTGTACCTAAAGGTTTTGGAGGGGAAATATTGATATAATAATGTTCATACAGAATCAAATGTGGCATATATGCCACAATTACTTTTGGGTCAGCTTCTGGACCAAACTAAAATAAGAGTCTTCACCTGTGTAGGGTAAAAAAGTCATTGGTTTTATTATCTCTTGTTAGGAAGGTGTGCAACATGTTGCAATAAAACTAAAGCAAGTGTAAGGAAAGTTTAAAACCTGTAGTAACAACATCAAGTCTCTTACTCCCCTGTAGTATAAAAATACAATAACTTCATTGTCATGAATGGGGTCAGGTGGGATTGACACCCACCTGTAAATCTGGCTTTGTGCACTTAAATCAGGGAACATTAAGAATTTCCTGCTATGTAATTAGTGTGGCTCTTCTGTAGATGAAGGGAAACAGCATGTAGGGGACCCTATTCAGCAGTGTATTTGAAATGAAATGGAATAAAAGTTTTGTGCAAATTGCTCCAGGGAGGAGAAGCCCCTAAGTTTAATTTCTGGCAACACTGGGAATAGATCCAGACTCCAGTTCCTGTCCCTTATGCCATTATGCCTCACAGTTCATTTTGGGTTTTGCATTTACCCTGCCCATAAACTTGAATTAAGCAACTTCTGACCTGAACAAATAATTTGGTTATTCTTGTTAATTAAATCTGTGTGTGCATGTGCATGATTGCACATGTGCAAGTGTGAGAAAGAGAGAAACTTTTTATCTCAGACACCATAGCTCTTGTACTGTGTTTTTGTCCCCAAGGGGGAAAAAATACGAAGAAATTAATTGGTTAAATTATTTTATTGTTCTAATAAAAATCAATGAATTTCTGCTAGCCCCACAACTGTTTCCAGTGAGAATTTAAGAAGGATGCTTGACTTGATTGAGGGACAGGGTTTCTAATTCTCTGGTGCCTTACATAGTGCTAATACAAAATGTGTGCAAAATATCACCTTTTGTATACCAAGCTTTGTATACTAAATTTGGACTGGCATTCACAACTGCCCAAGGGATAAGGTAGTTACAAATAAGATCAGAGAGACTTATTCACAAAGGCAGAGATTTGTAAATGAGACCAATTCAATAAAAAATAAAGTTCAAATTCTTGAGGGTAATTAGCCAATGGAGCAAACTTCCGAGAGAAGTGATGAATTCTCCATAATTTGCTGTCTTCAGATCAAGACATCTGCTGCCTCTCTGGAAGATATGCTTCAGTCAAAGACAAGTTATTGTGCATGTGCTAGAGTTAATTACATGCTAGAGAATTACATGAAGTCTTTGGCCCATGTCATGCTGTAGCTCAGACTAAATGATCTAATGGTTCCTTCTGCCTTTAAACCTGGATGAAACAGGGGCACAAAGGCCACAACCAGGTGAGCACAGATGTGCAGTATGTGGCGCCCCAGACCCATCTGCAGCAGCACACACCACACATGCAGGCATTCCCCATGCTGCTACCTTGCAGTGCAGGGGGTAAAAAAAACTCATGCTGAAAAAAGGTGGGGTGGCACATGTGGAGGGCAGTGTGTACTGCCCAAAATCGGAGCCTGGCTGGCTGGAGCCACACTCCAGCTGCTGGCCAGACTTCTTGCCATAGCTGCAGCCCCAGGAGACCCTCAGAACCCCGGGTAAGGCTGCTGGCCCCAGCTGTCCCTACCCCATCTGGGGTAACTTGCTATGCACCAGAGTGCACATGGCATGGGTATTCCCAGGGGGACAAGCAGCAGCCACACAAAGTCTGTGGCTGCTACTTGTCCCCAGGGAAACAAACATTTGTTCTCATCTGGACACACCCAAAGAGTGCATTAACACAACTGAATGAACTCTTGAGTTTTTTGAGCCAGAGTACTGATCCCAGGTGTGGTGTCTACACATGCACCTGGGACAGCAGCCATTTGGGGGCGGAGCAACCCTGAGCTGGCAGGGGATATGGGGTGTCAGCCCTGGGTTCTGGGTGGCAGCATCAGGCAGCAGAGGGGCTGGCAGGAGGTGGGAGTCTGGCCCCTGGCTGGCTGGGCTGACCAGGTACAATTTGTGTTCTGTTGTCACTGTCTACGTGTACATAGCCACACTCACAGATGTTCAATGAACTGATACCTCACTCAGCACAAATACGTTGTCTCATGTGACAGAACACTACTACATTACCAAATAAGTTACCACATTTTACTTCCTGTTGTGTGAGTAGACTTCCATTTTATGGTGGTGTTATAGTGATGTTGTAGCTATGTAATTTAGAAATTATGCAAGAGGCAAGGATATTTTAGGGTGATACATTTATTGGACCAACTGCATAGCTGAGATAAAATTAACCAAGCTTTTGAATGTAAGTCATTCTTCAAATGTTCAAATTACATGGACCCAGAGGAACAGACATCCACGTTCAGCTTTCTCTGTGCAAAAAATAACTTTATTTTCTACCTATGGGGACTTTTTACCATCTTTAATTTTCCTTGAGCCTAAGGAAGGGCATGTGTGCCTGAAAGCTTGCAGAAAAAGATAATTTTTTTTGTGTTTTCTTAGTTCGTCTGATAAAAGGTATCATCTCTGAACCAAGAGTTCTAGGGCATGTGTGGATGAAACAGGGGGCCTAAATTGAAGTGGTGGGTTTTTAAAAACACTGCTTCAACTTAGGGCCAATTAGACCCCTGTGTTGTGCACACACTCGACTTACCTGCCTCTCCAGTGGTAGGGAGGAGAGGGCAAGCTGCCGGCAGGTGGAGCAGCCCCTGGACTGTGGGGGAGGGGGGCCTGGTGCTTCCCGCTGTGCCCCCCGCCAGGTGGCACCCGCCCACAGGCACCTGGCTCGGGCAGCCCCAGGAGGCACCACAGATGCGGAGGAAAGCACTGAGCCCCTCCGCAGCTCAAGCAGGTTCCAGGATGGGGGAGGGAGGGGACGGAGATCAGGCTTGCTGCTTTTCTTGTGTGAAGTCTGCCTTCCCAGGCTGCTGTCAGGCTGCCTGCAGGGCTGCCTGTGGAGCTGTGGAGCTGTATGGAGCCTGGTGCTTCACCCTACAGCTGTACGGGCAGCAAATTAAAACTCCTTGGAGTTTTATGCTGCCGAATTTCCTACTGTTGCTGGAATTCATGTGCAGTACGCTGCAGAGGTGTGCAAACAACGACACCATTAAAATGGTTTATAATCATTTAGCTTGCTTTGAAGTGTTATGCGTACTCCTCCTCGTTTCGTCTACACACGGTCAAAGAATTTTGCAGACATTCTTCAAATGTCATTCGAAGAATTCTTCATATTTTGCATCTGAAAGCTCATTTAACTCTATCACAACTATGTAGTAACTATGTGGTATCTTGCTTGGTGATATCTTAATGAAATGATTATCACAAAAGAAGCACCTAACTAACACCACTCTCTAGGCTGATTCTCTACTGCAAGGTACGTCTAGCACCTTGTAAAGGAAGATTTTCCAAAATGCAAATACCCTCTGTCAGAATTGGACTCTTCATGCTTGAATTTGAAAGCTTTTCTAACTTCTCTGAACTGTGCATGTGGTTCAATAAAAGATATCACCCTAAGAAATCCTTGCCCCTCTTTTACTTCTATTGTCAGACATGATAAATAAACATATTAGCAAAGCTATATTAAGAGTTATACTAGCGCTACTGTACAATTCTGCCACCTCAGTATGTTTTTAACAGACTGGTGTTTAATTCAATTTTTTATTTATTTGACACACATTCTTTTAAAGACAAATTAGAAATAGAATTTACAAGTAAGGGTTCAGGACTAGCACTGATAGGTGAATGTGCTGTACCAGGGTCCTATATTACATTTACCCAATGCTTCAGTTAAGAAAGGTACTGAATCTTAGAGGGAGATATTTGTTTACCGGATGGATGAAAGACAAAGAGAATCTTTTATTCATCTGACACTGTTTTCAGACTCTCTTATATAATACTTGCTACCTGTGACAGACAAATGTAATTTTCCTAATGGGAAACCGTCCTGGCTAACCCTGCAAAGGAATTGTTTTAAAATACTTTGATTATTATGGTGATTTGCAAACACTGAGATCAACAGACTGAATTCTAACTTGATATAGTAGAGATGGCCTCAGTTTCCACAGGCCACTCAATGGAAGCAGGTCTTAAAGTAGGGGTGCAACTTACACAATTGCAAGCATTTTCGGGATTTTTTTGATTTTGCAAAGGACCCAAATATGACTTCAATTTATCCCTTATTTCAATGAAGGCTGAATACATTGGTGCATGGATCCAATAGCAGACATTAATGTAAACCTATACATTTCAGGCTAGAGTCATGAACTACATTGCCTACCATGGTCTGTCCTTTCCCCATGCATCTGCGTGTGCACATAACTAACATCTGAGTGAATCCATAGGACTGTCTTCATATTTATTTTAACATTTAGAGCCTCTAAAATAGTATCCCTTCAGCTCTTCTAATATAGTGCAATGAGCTATCACTAATATGCTCTGCTGTAGTTGTCCTCTAAAATGATTAGGGCTTAGCTAACTAAATTGTAGCCTTGTAAATCGGAACCGGCACAAACTTTTTCAGCAGTATGATGTTCAGTATTGAATCTGCAATGCCAAATGGCTACAACCTCTAGATATTATTTATCATTAAGACACTCAAAGGAAAAGTTGACATCCACTTCTAGCTGCCTCTGGGTACAGGGATTTTATATAACTAATTTTAGCTGCAGGCAAAGCAGAATACAATGTCCACAACAGGATTCCAAGCTCTCAAAAAAACAGCAGTGAACACTTTCCATAAATAATGTGGTAAACAAAGCATTAGCAGAATGACATAAAAATGTAGTGAATCCTTCTGAGCAAAGGATTTGGTAAAGATATTGCTTTATGACTTAACAGTATTATTTATATTTCCTTCAGCACATTATAATTGTTCACATATTACGTTGTTGTTGAAAATGTGTTTTTCCCCCCAGCCTCGGTAATCTATATACTCACATTTTGATGTTTTAGCTTTTCTGTTTTAAGTAATCTTGGCTCCTATTCTAACATCTGTAGGTATAGACCTCAGTCCTCTACTTTATAATGCACAACTGTCACTATTATCTTGTGGTTAAAAAAAAAAATCCTTGCAGGAGTGATTTTTCAAAATCAGGGGTGGAATGTATCTCATACTACAAACAAAGCTTGCAAAAAATTCCATTCACTACTCACTCAGCTAAAATGAGCTGTGCTATTTATTCCCAAACCACGTCTTCCCAAAATATCAACTCTATGTAAGTAACAAAGACGGTTCCATCCAAAGTACCATGGCTTTGACATAAATAAAGGGCAAACACCAGGAGATAAATCTTCCAAAATGTCCTTATAGCTAGTTAATCAATATGTCGCAACAGACATATGGCCCTTTTATTTTCTCTGTTGTACTCCACCTTGGATCCATGTATAACCGTGTTGATGCCAGCACAGGGATACAAGAGCATAGAGATCAATAAGAAACACTTCTTCAGGTGTATTGATTACCATCTGCTAAACGATAGATGACAATAATTTTTTGTAAGTTACACTTCTGTCTGTTAAACCTTTTTGCTATAAATATATGTGACAATAGAATACTGGAGCCTGCCATAATCACACCATAAAAGGAGATACATATTTAATTCAGATTCAGTACTAAATCAAAAGCAATCGTTTCACATTGCACAGAACTCACCCAGCTTGGGAATGGTGCATCACTGCTACTTTACTTTTATCAAACTCTTCTGTGTCAGAGTCATCATTTAAGAGCACATACTTCTCTTGTTTGCCTGCCTTCATCGTTTAATTCATTTATAAACCCTCAAAAACTGCAAAAATCTCTGGCACTTTAATTGTAACTCTACCACAGTAAACTCTTCTTGCTTTTGCTGCCCACAGAAAGTTCAGCAGCAACTTCAGGGTGGATGACTTTTCTGTGTAAGCTCCCTGACTCTGAAAGGTGATCTTGCTGTGCGAGTCCCAGAATTCTTGGGTTGCCTCCAGTTTTGTTTGCTACTTGCTTGTTCACTTGCACACAGGTTATGTTCCCAGTGCTTCCTTGAGATACAGTCATTTTGCAAAAAGTGAGAAAAAGTTAGGGGGAAAAAGGAGAAAGTGTGGGAAAAGCCTTTATTGTTAATGTTGCTTTGATTTTACTGTTATCATCTTTAGCATATTTTTACATGACCAACTGAGGTAATATTACTGTGCTATTCTGCTGTACTAAGAGATGAGAAGAAACCTTTTCCTGACTAAGCAAGCTATCCAGCCTAGGTGCAAGTTCAGTGCAGATAATAAATATTAAATGTTGGAGCCACAATTGACTTGCCCAGGGTGGTAGTAAGGCCAATGGCAAAGTAAGGAACTACTACTTTGTTCCCTGATTCCTAGCCCAATGCTCTAAACATTGTCTTTCACCAGGAGGCTCCAGATAAAAAGATACAGGGCTACTTTGAATTTCCAAGAGTTAGGTGTAACTGAGATTTCTGCCCTATTAAAAATGCTTAGAATGAAAGTTTAATGTTGCTTTGCTAAGTTTGTAAGCTCACCGGTATCAACCTGTTGTGAGAGGAGATCCTGAGTAATTGTGCGCTGCCAGGATTTTTAGGTAGGCTGAGTTACATTAATCAACTGAGAAAGTACAGTACATGCAGAACCCTTCAAGGGCAACATCCTCAAATTTCAGTTTACAGCATTTTTGACTGAATTAACTATTGGAGCTCCAGTTAGTGCCTATTATCCTTCAATTTGTGAACAACAAGGAAAACAAATCTGCAAACTCCCTTAAATACATATGGATTGTTTAAGGGTTTATTTCTGTTTAGCTTGGGGTCAAACTGAATAAAATGCACTCTGCTTCTGCACAGCTGGCTGTAGTTCTCTAATACTAATGGGGTTTTAATGTTTCAGTTAGGAAAATGATGGGCTGGATAAAGTCCATATCCTCTCAGCCCTGATAGTGGGTGTTACTCTTCTCCCCACTTGAGGGCAGATGAATGGGAGGAAAGAGTGATAAGGATGGAGGCTTGAAAAATGAATTGCGATGTGTCCTTGGGGCAGCACTTGGGGCTTGTGACATGATTTGGTGAAATTCGAGTTCGTCCGAAGTCAGTTCTGTGTATTGGGTTTCAACCCACAAAATTCCATAAGTGTGTTTATCAGGTAGGTGACTACAAAAAAAGATACTGTCCTCCATGTTACAGCACGCTGTTTAAGATATTATGGTCTGATTTTGTAAACTGTGCATGTGGTATGAGGAAGTGTCTCGAGGGGTGATATTGCAATAGCAAAACATCAGTACAGGTAAAATGACTTCAGCCAACAAAATGGGAATAGAGTGCTTCCATGGGTTGTAAACAAATATCAGCAATACATTTTTATGTGATATTGTAATAATAAAGTTCTGCCAGTTTTTCAGTATTTTAATCAATGAAAGTACTTTTTATTTTGAAAACTGTAAAGTGTTACTATCAGAAAATCTACATGTGAAGGGAAAAGAAATCAATGATGAAGATGTAGGTGTTATTTTGTTGGCATCGACTTTGTTGTTCAATAAACAATGAATAACAAAACAACAAACACAATAATAATAGTAATAATGTAGGCAACCATTGATCCCCTAGATCATGGTGTATGCAGAAGACGTCTAGTCAGGTGCCTGATGAATCTGCTTGTATGGAGTCCTGCAACTGTCACACCAAGACCTTTGATGCATACGCCTAGGCAAGGGTATGGAGGAGTGGAGGCTGCCCAAGACCCACCATCCCCCTTTAGACCATTGAGACAGAACCCAAGGCCATATCCAGCCCAGACATTCAGTGCCTCAGTGGTTGTTGCTTCTGCCAGAGAGCAACAGATAAGAACTGTCTAACAACACTTCAGCAAGGGTGTGTTTCTGTCAGAGCAATGTCCCTTAGCTTTTCTGAAACCAAGGAATGCCCACAAAGCAGTAAGGGCTAGGGTTTTGAGGTACCCTATACTCACCTTTCTCTGGAGGTTGCAACATTGTGGTATTTTATAGGAGCTACCCTATCATGAGTAGGTTTACAAAGTTGCCACCAGGCTCTTCAGTCGGATGCAGTTTATGGTCATACCCAGGATCATTATAATATGAATACACTAATATTAACCAATATTAATTAATCAATAGTTAATACTACCACTTAGTTGTTACCAATCAATATTTAAAATTAAGTTAAATTAATAGGCAATATTAATATTGATCAATATCAATTACTATTGGTGCTAATTAATATAGTTATTATTAATGGTTGACATATATAGGTAATGACTAATATAATTGTAATAGTAGTAGTAATATTGGTAGTGATGATGTCTAACATCTAAAAGCTGTAACCCACCAAATTAAATGAATACCACAGATGTCAGACTTGTAACCTTGCCAGCCCAAAGTTTAGTTTGAAATCAGCCTTTTAAAGAGCTTTCTATGTCATTTCCTTATCATCAGAATTAAAAAAAATGCTGTTTCATATACTTATAAATGGAGGAATATGCAATATCTTCCCCCAGAAGTTAGTCAGTGAATTATTACTGGAATTCAAAAGTGTCGTCTATCAGCTGGATAAGACATACTCAACAAATGCTACAAGTTAGTCATATGCATAGACCATACAGATTTTTCATACAATTCATCATTACAACTTGAAAATTTTACATTTTTCTTTTATGTGTACATATTATTTTCAATATTCATTATTTCAACCTACGTAAATATGCAATATTTCCCTCTTATTTTAAATTATACTTGTTACTATTCCTTTGAAATGAGTGGTTATTCGTATTGTGGACTATCTGAAACATGTTTCTGTTATCCATAGATAGCAGTGACCCTCTTCATGAAGTTCTTTTCTCACACAGAAATGTGTGAGAACAGCTGACTTAGAAGCATCATTCCTTTTTGCAAAACCCACAAAAGGCATCCATGGGCATCAGGATACATTAAGGGGGAAAAGACAAAGAATTCTCTGCCCAGTGTTGGATGACATATGGAAATAATTATTATCTTCTCCTGTGCCCTGTGGAAATTTCCTAAGAAAGGTTATGCAGCCCCCAGCTCTAAAGAATTATCCTTTGGAACTAGAAATAACGTCTAAGCAATACTACTTGTTATGTGCTTTGAACTCTTGTTGATCTGTACTCTAAAAAGTGAAATAATACTATTTTTTAATCGAAGAGGAAAGATGAATCAGCATAAATAACAAAGCTATTAGATTATGATAGTGAGCAATGTGTTTTGTCATGGGCACTTGACAATCAGCTCCATCAACATACACTGATTCCATGGGCAGGCTTCCCATTAATCATAGGCTAATCACCACAGGACAAGGGGCTCAGTGTTTTAATAACAGAGAGGCAATACTTGGCTGGTGATGTAAATTATGCAGTCCAATCTCATGAAGGCATCCTGGCTGCAGGAACTCCTGGCATGCAGGCATCCTGGCTCCAGTCTATCAAAATGCCATTGTGCCATGTGGATAATTGTGCCAGTGCTGTTGATGCTCGGGCAGGTAGTTGCAGATGCTATTTAATGATTCATTTAATGATAGAGTATTGACAGTTATTGTTGATTGCTCTTAGAATATTCATCTCATCCCTCCTCAAACACACATGTACAGCCACACACCCATTGTGGTTTCAATTACCTTCTAGCCTCCACCTAAACACATTTGAATGGTCACCTGGAAATAATCAGGTAAAGATTTAAAAAAGAATTCAGATAGCAATAGTCCAGACTCTAACCCAGGCTGTAAGCAGCTGTAATGATGCTCCTAACTAGGGCTGTGTGAAATTTCGGTAGCCGTTTCATTTTGGAGGTGTTTCGGTCTGTTTCAGCACCCAAAACACCGAATCTGAAACAAAACAGAAGGCCCCAAAACATTTCTGAAATGAAACCATCCAAAATGTTTTGGAAATGTTTTGGATGTTTTGGAATTGTTTTAGAGGTGCCCTTGGGAAGAGTCCAGCACAGCCCCATAGACCTCCTTTTAAAGTGCCGGTGCTGGGTGGGGGATGGGGCCAGGCAGGGCAGCCATGGGGGACTCTTCTGTGGCTCTCCCCACCAGGGCAGAGGTAAGCACAGCTTGAGAAGCTGCAGGAGAAGCCCCCATGGCTGCCCTGCCTGGCCCCATCCATCCCCCACCTGGACCCAGACTCCCAGCCCCTAAAAAAAAAAACCCTGCACTCACCGGCTGTAGCAGTGGCAATCAGGGCATCTTAGGGCTCATGGCAGAGCCCCACCATGCAGCTTAGGGCAGTGGGGGGCAGCAGGGAACACCCCCCTGATTGGCACCTGCACCACAGCTGTCGTATTGCACGGGTGCAGCGCAGCTTGGCAGGGCACCGTGCACTGTCTGGGAGTTGGAGCAACTCCAGCAGTCAGCTGGAGCCTGGCACTAGTCAGCCCCAGAAACCCCAGCTCCCAGCTCCCAGACAGCTTCTGTGCTGGTGTGGGTGCCGGGCTGGGGTGGGGCGATCCCCACTGCCAGTGAGTGTGGGGCTTTTTTTTTTTTTAAGTGCTGGGAGGCTGGGGTGGGGCGGTGGATGGGGCCGTGCCCTTCTGCTTGGGGAGAGGCAGGTACAGCTGGAGGAGCTGCAGGAGAACCTGCAGCTTCCTGGCTGTGCCTGCCTCTCCCCGGCTGATCCAAATCTCTGAATCAGCTCCGAAACAGCATTAAAACTGAAACAGATTTGGCCGAATTGAAATGGAACAGTGATCCAAAACATCAAAACAAATCACTGTCTTCCAAATAGGCCGAAACCAAAACCAAAACCAAAATCAAACATAGCCATTTCACACAGCCCTATTCCTAACCCCATGGGCAAGCTACGTACATTGTTGACTGCAACATTCAGAGAGAAGACAAGGTTGTCACCTTTCAACCCATGGAGAAAAGGGCAAAGGG